CTGTTCTGGATGCGACAAGGAGGGAGTGTAAAGCAGAAGGAAAGCGTGAAAAGAAAGGGAAAGGAAAAGAGGAGGAGAAGATGGAAGTAGAAGAGTGAGAAGGATAAGAGTGGAAGAGAAGAGAAGGATAAGGGAAGAGGTAGGAAGTGACGTAATAGCAGGAAAAGGAAAAGGGACCAATCAGAAATGCTCGGTGAGTGAGTCGCGATTACGTGTCGAGGAAAGGTTGGTAGGCGTGGATACAACAGCGCCACTGGAAGAAGAACGAGAGCGTGGGGTACTGGAAAAAGACGCGCAAAAGGACGGTCATTGCCTCGTGGAAAGTACAGTAAGCAACATCGTAGTAGAGAAGGAAAGTGTAGTTGATAGTGTCGGTGGGGAGGAGGAAAAAGCGAAAGAAGGTAAAAAAGACAATACTTCTGGTTTAATAAATTATGGGAGTGAGAATATCATAGGAGATAAGACTAGATATAAGGAGTTAGAAAGTAGGGAAAGCTGCGACGCAGATAGGATGGAAGTGGTAGGTAATACAGAAAATGTGGAAGTTAGGGATAAGAAACAATCAAAAAGAACGACAGGGGGAGAAAAGAAAAAAAGACTGTATAGACAATAGGGGGGATAAAAAAGAATGGACTATAGATTTATATGATGAGGAAGCCACGTGGGATGAGTATACTGTGTGCTGCGTACTGAAGACGGGAGGAAGGAATAGGACTAAAACGACCAAAAGCAGGGAGGAGGCGAATTTCTTGTTGAAGAAGTACGGGAGTAGGGATAGCCAAATAACAGCGTACCTGCCAAGGAGGATGAAGTATCGTCGTGGAGTGATATTTGAATGGGAAGATTCAATCGAGGAGCTAAGGGAGGAGGCGACTCCAGGGCAGGGGACTTTCGTATTGGAACGTATGAAGAAAAAGCGTGTAATGGACGGTAAAATGGTCTTCCAGCCCTTTAGGGCGATCATGATAACTTTTAGGGGTAGTACGCTCCCTACGAGGCTGTTGATCGGCCAGGGGCATGTCGGAATTAGGATAGAGCCCTTTGTGGAGCCAGTGAGGCAATGTTTTAAATGCTTGAAATACGGTCACTTGCAAGCCAGCTGTCGAGAGGTGGAAAGGAGGTGCGTAAATTGCGGTGAAAGGGAACATGGGCAGTGTGAGAGAAGGGCGAAATGCGTAAACTGTGGGGGAGAACACGGATCACTGGCGAGGATTTGTCTGTGTTGGCAAAGGGAGGCGGCAATAAGGAAAGTGATGGCTTTCCGAAACGTAGAGTTCGATACTGCTAAGGGGATCGTGGCCAGAAGTTTAGGGGAAAGGGAGCCGGACAGGGTTAGGGGAGTTGAAGAGGTGGCAGGAGATAGAGGAAGCGACTTTCCTGCACTGATGAGAAGAGAAAGGAGAGAAATATGGGAGAATAAGGGGATCCCTATACAAGGGGAATTGGATAGAATAAGGAGGGGACGAGAAGACAGAGGAAGGAGTAAGGGACCCAATAGGACAAATGCCAGTTACAGCGAAGTGACCGCAAAGAATCTAGAAGGAAAGCCAAAAGAAGGCCACATGATTCCGGCAGGAATGGAGAAGGAGAGTAATGACGATGAGGAAGGAGTAGTGGGTTGGACGCAGGTTAAAAATGGGGGAAGACCATCCTGTTACAATTCAAGAACGGACTTGGTCCTGACGAATAACAAATACATTTGTCTAGACTGTAAAGAAAAAGTGGAAAGGGCGAAAGAAAAGCAGGTGGACAGACACAAGACTTTGGAGAGGATCCCGTTCCCTCATGAGCTGGTGGGACGTGAGTCGAGTAGCCCCAAAGAACAGGGGGATGTGGAAGAGACAGCTGGGAAGCAGGAGAGGGAGAGGAGAAGGGAGATCAGAGAGGAAGAGGAAAGGAAGAAGAGGATGGAAGAAAGGAAGAAGAAAGAAGAGGACAGGCTCATTGATGAGCTAATTGCGTTTCTGAGAGAGAAAAACATAGAAGAAAGGGTAGCTCAGGCCATTCAGGGAAGGAGGCGAAGCGTCCAAGGAAAAGAGACGGTAGAGGAGGAAGAGGACTGGAATGCTGTCGTAACCCCCCCTTTTTTACACTATGTGGACGAGAAAACCAGTCAGAGAGTAAGACGAAAAGCCGCCAGAGAACATGAAAAAGCTCTGGAAAGAAGAAGAAGAGAGGGTAACCCAGAAGGGTGGATTTTATGGGAAGAAAAGGCGAGGAAAGACAGAGAGGAGGTGGAAAGAATAATAAGAGAATATAAGGCGATGAGGGAGGAAGGAACTCTGACAGATGATGGCCATTCGAAAGGGACTGGAAGACCAAATGCAGGAGGGCGTGAAAAGGAAAATGAAGGGGCAAGGGAGAATAATCATAGAAAGGAAGAAGAGGAGTCACGAGGAGCTAAGGATTCTGAGACAGAAAAAGAGGAAAAGTGGTGAACGGAGAAAACGACTGGGGCAAAGAAAGAAGAGAATGGAAGTAGAGGGAAGAGTGGAAAAAGGTGGTCCAGGGAAAGTGCAAGAAGAAGGTGCAATAGTAGCAGTGAAAATCAGGGTGTTAATAGTGAGAGCATGGCTAGAAATATGCAGGAAAACGGTAAAGAAAGTGCATAGTGCGACGCGTATACATAAAAGAGTTATAAGACTAATAAAGAACCCAAAGACTGCGGTGATGGTGGTGAGAAAAGGATAAAAAATATTTATGTTATATTTTGTAGGTTATCTCTTGATTTGAGTTTATTTTTGAATCTCTTTTCTTGTTTTTTATCTGTTTTGATATAAATATGGTATGTAAGTTAGTTTTTAGTAGTTTTATAGTTGTGTTACCAAAATATGGGATTGCGACATGTTATCAGAAGACGTGGTGATATAGGTTTAAGTATAGGATATAAGTTTCCTACGTATATTAAGAATAACGAAGAAAAAAAAAAAGGGTAAAAAAAAAGGAAAAATGGAAAAAAGAACTTTTGTAATTAATAAGATAGATATAAGGCGAATAATAGAGGATGAGGCGAGATTTTGTGACCTCAAAAGTACAATAAGGACAGTATTTAACAGAAAAGACTGGTTATTAGTTTGTAGAAGATGTTAAGAGAGGCTGAGAATATTTTTATACTTACTTACATCAGAGATAAGATATGTGTTCTGTTTTTTATACTGGGTATTGATGGAGGCAAGATATGTTCCTGACATAGTTTCTATTTTTATAAATATTACGCAATGTTACAGTCGTTGGTTATAATTTAAAAAACATGTTGAAGGTAATTTTGTATTGTGAGGATGTTAGAGGAGTATGGATGTGTGAGAAGAGTAACGACGGTGGGAGGGTGAGAGAAGTGAGAGGGATGAATGGTCGGGGTGGCAAGTGTGAAGTGTTGTTTGCGCTCGGTTGGGGGAAGGAGGTAATGGCATTGGAAAGGCTAAAAGAGGAGAAAGAGGAAAGGAAAAAAGGGAGGAAAACGGGATGGTGTGGAAAGAGGAGAATGATGAAAGAAATGGAATTTGCGACAAGGGCTGGGTATATAAGAGAGGGATGAGGTGTGGGTTGTGGAATGCAAGGAGTATTAGGAATAAGAGAGAGGAGGTGAGAAGGCTATTAGAAAGCTTGGACCTGTTGGCAGTAACGGAGACGTGGTTAAGGGAAGAAGATAGATTTAGAATCCTTGGTTGGTACTTAATAAGGAAGGATGGGGGGACAGGAAACAAGGGAGGGGGTTTGTGTATAATGGTCAGAGAGAATGTGAAGATAATGAAAGCCGACATTTATTTAAAGGATGATAATGTGTGGGAAAACATGGTAGTAGAAATTGAGACAGAAAGGGGGAAGTTAGAAATTGTGCTGTTATATAGGAGACCAGGTACGAACATAAGCAGAGAGGATTGTAGAAGACTGCTTAGAGGCGGGGGGAGAGGTAACAGGAGGATTTTTATAGGAGACTTTAATGCGAAGAGCATTAGTTGGAATTGTGAAAGTGGAGATCCGGCGGGGACACTACTGGAAGATGTTATGGATGAGGAGGAGATGGTTGTGGTAAATTTTGGAACAAAGTCTAGGATTGGGGGGTGGAACAGGCAGCATCGAATATAGATCTAATTGTTGCACCAGCGGAGCTAGCTTTGGACATAGAGGTTAGGGAGACGGGAGAAACGCTTGGATCTGACCACCAGGTGATTGAGTTTGACATGTATGATGAGATGAGAACGATGGAGGGGAGGATAGAAGGCAGGAGATTTAAAATGGACAAAGTAGACAAGGCGGAGTTTCTAAAATGGATGTTAGGGAAGGAGGAGACTCTGTTGAGGATAGTGAAGTCTGGAGTGGGGGTTGAAAGAAAATGCGATGAGATATTGAGATTGTTAGTGGAAGGTATAGAGGGTAGTTATAGGGGAAATGCTGACGGGAATAGTAGTGCAAGTGTGACCAGAAGGGGAAGGGAAGACGGAAGGGGGAATAGAGGGAATAAGAGGAAGGTGAAGAGGCAGCCGTGGTGGGACGGTGAGTGTGAGGAATTGAAGGAGGAAAGGAGAAAAGCTACGAAAGAGATGGGGAGGAGGCCGACAGAGGAGAACTGGAACAACCTTTTAGAAGTTAGAAAGAAAATGAAGATGGCGGTCAATAAAAAGAAGAAGGAGGGTCTGGGAAGAGTTTATTAAGAGCATAAAGCACAAGGGAAATATAGGAGAAATGTGGAGAAAAATAAAGAGCTTGACAAAGGGAGTGACGATGGAAGACCAAAACAATTTAGGAGCGTGGGAGATTCAAGAGATGGAGGAAGCCGAGGTAAGGAAGTTAGAGGATTCTGGTTATTGTTGTAGAATTGAAGAGACAGAAGGAACTGAGGTGGAGAGAACTGGAGAGGGGAATAGAATTGAGACAGAAGGTATTGTGGACGAGGAAGCGGAGAATAACGGTGGTGAGGAGGAGGGATGGATCAGCAGAGACCTAGAGATGGAGGAATTGGAGTGGGCATTGTCCACATCGAGGAGGAAATCTGCTCCAGGAGAGGATGGAGTTGGGTATGAAGTCATGAAGCTATGGACGAAGGGGTGGAAAGAGGCGGTGTTAGTACTGTATAATGAGGTATGGAGGAAAGGAATAGTTCCTAAAATTTGGAAGAAGGCGGTAGTAAAATTTATCCCTAAGGCACAAAAGAGAGCGTTGAGACCTATATCTTTGTTGAATTGCATGGGGAAGATCCTGGAGAAAATGGTTAATGAAAGAATTAGGATATGGGCGGAAGAGGAAAATAAAATAGATACTAATCAAAACGGTTTCAGGAAGGGCAGATCGACAATGGATAATATTGGAATCCTGACCAACAGGATAAAGGAGAGTTGGGGAAAAGGAAGAAAAGTGATAGCGGCGTTTGTTGATGTTAAATCAGCATACGATAACGTGAGGCATGATCTGATGGTTCAAAGACTTGTTGGCACTTGTTGTTCAGGAAGAGTGAGGAAATACGTAGAAGCATGGCTCAGGGATAGAGAGATAGCGATTCATACGGTGGAAGGTAACAGGATTAGGATGAAACTGAAAAAGGGACTACCCCAAGGGTCGGTTTTGAGCCCTCTGTTATATAATCTGTACACGAGAGATATCGCTGAGGGATTGCGAGAGAGTGGGGTTGGGATCCTTCAATATGCTGACGATATTGTCATATTTGTAGAATTCGAAAAGAGAAGTGAAGGGAAAAGGAGGATAGAGGATGCAGTAAAGAGGCTTAAAGAGAATCTAGGAAGGCTAGGGTTAGTAATAGCGATGGAAAAGACTCAAGTGGTAAAGTTTTTGAACAGTAAAAGGAGAGGAGGTTTGGCTAGGGAAGAATTTATGGTGGATAATGAGAGAATAGAAGAAGTGAGTGCGGCAAAATTCTTGGGGATGTGGATAGATGAAGGATTGGACTTGAAAAAGCACACCGAATATACAGTAGCTAAATTGAAGAAGAGGATGAACATTCTGAAGTGCCTAGGGGGGATATAAAAGGGCACCGGGCCCGAAACCATACTGAAAGTATTTGTAGCTGTTATTAGGTCGGTAATTGAATATGGTGCACCTTTCTACTTGAGTGAGAAGAGGAATAGAGAAAAAATCCAGAAAATTCACAATGCGGGTATTAGGATTGCGTTAGGCTATAGGATCTCAACGCCGATAAACGTCATGGAGACTGAGGCAGGAATAATGGATATGGAAATAAGGATGAGGAATTTAACGGAATGGTACATAGCTAGGAAGATTTGGAGTGGAGATGAGGAAGTAATGAGTGCGATAGAGTACAGGATTAGGAATAGCAACGAGGAGGAGATTAGGGAAGGTAAAGATATGATGGTAGATGCATGGAGAAAGATCGAGGAAATAAAGATAGGAATAGGTAGGAAAAGAAAGATGGAATACGATGCAGAGTGGAGAATCTATAAAATGGAAAGAGGTTTGGAGTGGGAGTGTGGTAAGAGGTTCGAGGTAGATTTCATGAATGAGAGTATGCTCTTGATGGAAATTAAAGTCAAAATGTTTGGCAGAACGGAAGATATCATAGAGATGTATACAGATGGATCGAAAATAGAAAATAGAAAGAGTGGAGGAGGTGCGGTTGTGATTAGAGAGATTGGAAAGGATTGGGAAGAGGAAGGGTTTACGACTCCTAGTCAGTGCTCAGTATATACCATAGAATTGACAGCAATTATGAGGGCGGTGGAAATTGCGGAGAATAGGTTCAGAGAAAGGAATGTTCTGATTCTGTCGGATTCGTTGAGTACGATAGGTAAACTGGCAAATGATAATAAAGGGCAGGATATAGGAGACAAGATTGACACGATTAGAAATAGATTAAAGAAAAGGAATTTCGAGACGGAAGAGGGTGATGGATTGGTAGGAAGGTTGGTGTTGGCCTGGGTGCCGGCACATGTGGGGATAGAGGGGAATGAAAGAGCGGATAGGGTGGCAAAGGAGGCTACTATGGGAGATGCGGACTTTTGGGTAAAGTTCACGATAAAGGACGCTAGAAGGGTTATAAGAGAGAGAGAAAAAAGAAAAAGAGGACAGTATAGAACTACACGAGGATGATATTACGTATGAAGAATAAGTAGTATGCTGTGCCTTGAAAGTGGTAGGGAGAAATAGAACTAAAAGAAACAATCTAATAAAGATCTATAGGCTTGTACAGGGTGCGGGTGTGAATATAAAATCAATCCGTATGACTGGTTTTAGCAGAGCCGAGGTGACCACCAGAAGCAGAGAGGAGGCAAACGGTCTGCTGAAGAGATACGGGAGGAAAGAGGAGAAGATCGCCGCCTTTTTGCCCAGAAGGATGAAGTATCGACGCGGAATAATCTTTGAATGGGAGGATTCCGTTGAGGAATTGAAAGAAGAGGCTACTCCCGGCCAGGGGAATTTCGTGCTCGAAAGGATGAAGAAAAGGAGGATAGTGGATGGAAAGGTGGTGTTCGAGCCAATGAGGGCTATAATGATTGTGTTCAGGGGGAGTGTACTGCCGACTAGGCTTTTGATCGGACAAGGACATGTGGGTATAAAAATCGAGCCTTACGTTGAACCTGTGAAACAGTGTTACAGGTGCTTAAGGTTCGGACATGTACAGGCGACGTGTAGGGAGCAGATAAGAAAATGTGCAAATTGCGGGGAGAAGGAACATGGTCAATGCGGGAAGGACTCGAAATGTGTAAATTGTGGTGGTAGCCATGGTTCGCTTTCTAGGGGCTGTTGGGTCTGGCAGAGGGAGGCCGCCATTAGAAAAGTGATGGCTTTCCGTAATGTCGAATTCGACACAGCCAGAGGAATCGTGGCGAGATCCCTGGGCGGCAGGGAAATGGATAGACTAGGAGGTTTAGACGTAGACGAAGGTATGGGGAGCAGGGAGTACCCAGCACTGAGACAAAGAGAGAGGAGGGAAGTGTGGGAAGAAAAAGAAGTCCCAATTGAGAGAGAGCTGGAAGGAGTAAGAAGGGGAAGAGAGGAAAATGATAGGAATAGAGGCATAAATAGGGGAAGGGAGAAATTTAGCGAGATAGTGAAGAGAAAGGGCAGGGAAGAGGAGAGAAAGGCCATCCCAGCGGGTATGGAGAAGAACAATGAGGAGGCAGAGGAAGAAGAGGCTGCTACGGGATGGAGCCAGGTGAGAAGAGGAGCGGGAGTAGCTAAAGGAGGTAGGCCCACGTGCTATAACAGTAGGACCGACCTTTTCCTGACCAACAATAGATACATATGCCTTGAATGCAAGGAGAAAACGGAAAGAAATGCCAAAGTCCTCCAAAAAATTCCTTTCCCTTATGAGCTAGCGGGGAAAGAGGCAGATAAAGGGGAGAAGGAAAACAACGATAAGGAGGGAATGGACGAGAAGGCGGCTAGGGAAGAGGAAAGAAGAAGGAGAGAGGTAGAGAGAAAGAAGAAGGAGAAGCTTGAAGAAAGGCAGAGAGAGGAGGAGGAGAAGATAATGAAAGAACTTATTGAATTCCTCCAAGGAAAAAATATGGAAGGTAGGTTCGAAGAGATCCTTAAGGCGAGTAGAGGAAAGAGCCCAAGAACAAGATCGCCCGAAAGTAAGAAAAGTGAGGAGGAAGATTGGAACGCGGTGGTGACACCTCCGTACCTTATGTATGTCGACCCAAAGACAAGGGAAAGGGTTAGAGTGAGGGCAGAGAGGAGAAATAGAGAAGCCGAATTAAGAAGGAGAAGAGAGGGAATATCTACGGAGTGCAGTCTGTGGTTGGAAAAACAAAGGGCGGACAAGGAGGAAATGGAAAGGGTGTGGAACCTCAAAAAAAATGAAGAAGAGATTCCAAGAAGTCAAGGGGGAGAAAGGGAGGATGTCAACGAAGAAGGGAGTAAGAAGCAAGAAGAGACAGCGAAAAAAAAGGGAGGAGAAGATAAAGGGGGGGAGAACGGTAGAGTATTGCGAGGGAAGGGAGGAAGAGGAAGGAGCCAAGGAGAAATGGTAAGAGTAAAAAGAAGAATAAACAAAAGTGAAAGGAAGAAGGAAGATAGAAACAGAGGAATAGTGATGGAAAGAAGGAGTGGAATAAGAGTCGCAGGAAGTGGAGTGAAAGTAAAGGGGAATAGTCTAGTTAGCAAGACTGTAAGGTTAGTGATAAGACGTGATAGTATGGGAATGATGGAAGTGAAACAAATAGACAATAAGACAACACAGACTGTGCGTACATTGACTGATAGATATAAGAACGAAAATGGCGTGCAATCATTAGATCATAAGTTCAGAGTTAAGTGTAAGTTTATCGTTAGTTTTTTTTGAGTTTGTATTATTTTTATTTTTATTTTTGTTTTTGGTGATTTTCTTTAGAAATAATGCCCGGCTGTTTGGGCAAGATAGAAGGTTAGAAGACTGGAGATACCAAAGAGACTGGGGGAAAAAGGGGAGAAAAATGGGAGTACAAGTAAATATAAATATAGTTTTAAAGGTAAATTTACATATAATATATATCCTTTATATTTTTGATACTATATTTTTAGAGGTTAAGTTTGACGGGGGGAAATACCCTAGAATATTTTTATATGATAAACGTTGCAATACAGGTTTTTCAATTACAATTTTATATTGTTGTTTATATATATATTTTATGTTCTGTGTTTTGTACAAGTTAGTTTGTAAGTTTTTATGGGGGGGAAGGGTCGAAGCGTTGGACAATCCTATCAGCAGCGTCAGGGGAAGGGAAGGGGGAGAAGAGAATGAAAGAGCGTTTGGGGAAATTGGAGAAAGATGAGGTGTGGGCTGTGGAATGCGAGGAGTGTGAGGAATAAAAGGGAAGAAATAAGAAGAGTAGGGGAGGGCTTTGATGTACTAGCGATTACGGAAACATGGTTAAAACCTGAGGATATCTATAAGATACCGGGGTGGCACATAATTAGAAAGGACAACAAAGGTGAAAATAGAGGAGGTGGGTTGTGTGTAATGGTGAGGGAGAATATAAGAGTGATTAAGGCTGGGGTATTTTTGAGAAACGAAGAGAGGATGGAAAGCTTAGCGGTAGAACTGGAAACAGAGGGAGGGAAAATTGAGATAGTATTGGTGTATAGAAGCCCGAGAAATCCGATAACTAAAAGGGACTGGAAGGATCTTTTGGGGAATTCTAGGGCGAATGGGAGAAGAATTTTTATGGGAGACTTTAATGTTAAAAGTAGAAGCTGGAATTGTGACGGGGAGGACCAAGGGGGGGAATTACTGGAAGAGGTTCTGGATGAAGAAGAATTGGTAATAGCTAATTTTAATACGTTATCGAGAATAGGAAGGCCGGACCAGGGAACGTCCAATTTAGATCTAATCATTGTCCAATCAGAAATGGCCTTGGAGATAGGAGCGAGGGAAACAGGGGAGACTCTTGGCTCTGATCACCAAATAATAGAGTTCGATTGGGGGAAAGAGGCAAGGGTAATTGAGGAAAAGAGGGATGGTAGAAAATATAGATTGGAAAAGATAGATAAAGGGGAGCTTCTAAAATGGTTGTTAGGAAGCGAGAATGAAGTTAAAAGTTTCTTTGTGGAAGGGATGAATATAGACAGGAAGTGTGAAGAGATAACTAGGCTGCTCATAGGAGGGATAGAGAGGTGTTATAGAGGGAAGAAGTGACATATGGAAGGGCAGAATGGGGGAAGTAGGAGGAACGGGAATAATGGAAAGAAGAGGAGGAAAGTGAAAAGACAACCATGGTGGGATGGGGAATGTGAAAGGGCAAAAGAGGAAAGAAGGAAGGCTACACTTTTGATGAGGAGAAGACCGAATATGGAAAATTGGGACAAGATGAAAGAGGCAAGAAAGAACATGGAGAAGATAGTTAAGGAAAAGGAAAAAGGAGCATGGGAAGAATTCATTAAAAGTATAACACACAAAGGAAACATAGGGGAGATGTGGAAAAAGGTTAGGAGTTTAGCCAAGGGAATTGTTCAAGAAGAGCAGAGGATTATGGGCAAGTGGGAGATTGAAAAGCTGGAAAAGGAGGAGGTAAGGAAACTGGAGGAAACTGAATACTGTTGTAGGTTAGACGAGGAAGAGACGGAGATGGGGAGGAGGAAGAATGGAGAGGAAGAGGAGCAGAGAGTTACAGAGTGGAACGAGGAGAATGGGAATATAGGAGAGGATGGTGAGTGGAACTCATGGTTAGCCAGGGACTTTGAGAAAGAGGAGTTGGAGTGGGCGTTGGTAAGGGCTAAAGGTAAGTCAGCCCCAGGAGAGGATGGAGTAGGTTACGATATATTGAAGCTGCTGACGAAAGGATAGAAGGAAGCCATCTTATATCTATATAATGAAATATGGAAGGAAGGGAGGATACCGAGGAGTTGGAGGAGAGCTATGGTAAAATTTATACCTAAGCCCCAGAAGAAGGCTCTCAGACTGATTTCTTTGATGAACTGTATGGGGAAGACATTGGAAAGGATGGTGAACGAAAGATTGAGGATATGGGCGGAAGAAACAGGTAAAATGGATATTAATCAAAATGGTTTTAGGAAAGGGAAGTCAACAATGGACAATACAAATATCCTGGTAAACTCGATAAGAGAAAGCTGGGGAAAAGGGGAAGCGGTGACTGCAGCTTTCATTGACGTAAAGGCGGCATACGATAACGTGAATCATGGAAAATTGGGGGAGTTATTAACAGAAATGGAATGTCCGAAACAAATAAGAAAGTACTTGAAGGACTGGCTGCGAGAGAGAGAATTGGATTTCTGTTTGTTAGGAGGAGAAAGCAGGAGAATGAAGATGTTGAAGGGGCTCCCTCAGTGGTCAGTATTAAGCCCACTTTTATATAACCTATATGTATATGTGCTATACCTATATTGCCCCAAAGCAGTCAAAATGAATCAAAGTTTCAGTCTTTCTAGTGTTAATAATTTAAAATTTTTATTCCATTTCTGTTCTACTTATTGTTAGTTTATAACTTACGTGTACATACACACATACAGTGGGTAACAAAAGTAAGTAAACACTTTGAGCTTGTAGCAAAAAACTATTTATGTCAAAGCAAATATGTAACTTCAAAAAACAAATTGTATATCTACAGAAACTACATGAAATAATCTATATAATTATGCTGATAAAATGTTCATTAGTGCTGGATTTCCTCGTGAAAAATAATAAAGATTCTCGGTATGCAACGAATACACGTTCCAAAAGTAAGTAAACACGACCGGCATTGCTCGATAACTTTTTAATATTTGCAATTTTGCAATTTATCTGTAAATGACTCTTATAGATTATTTCATGCTGAATCTGAATTCACAAACCGTTCCTTTGTAGTGGTTATCGTTTTCGAGAAAATTTGACTTAAAGGAAAATTGTAAGTTTTCAACTTTGGAAATGTTTCACAGTCTTATAGTTGCTTCCATTCATTTTATTTTTATACCAAACTATTCTGCAAATTATCTTGAATAAAATGATAGGCATTGTGATAATGTTATAATTATTTAATTACGTTTAAATGCCAATGGAAGTGAAGAAGAAACCCAAGACTCGCCGATGTCTGCTGATGTTTTTTAATTTATTTCAACGACGAAGAGTTTCAGAACAATTCTAATCAGATCAAACGAAACTGTAAATATTACAGTTGAAAAAGGTACTCAAGAAAGATAACAAATCGTGTTATGCTTTGAGTACATGTGTCAAATGTTTCGGAAAATTATTAGCACGAAATCCGAAAAACGTTCGTACAAAAAAGACGACCGTCAGCGATGAGTATCACTGCCGTTACTATGTGAAGTTGTTACATGTTTATATATTTTTGATAAATGAGTGCAAGATTCGGCATTAAACGTGTTAATTTTTTGGTGTTAAAGTATGTTTTTAAACAATATTATTAAATTAAATTTAAATTTGAAGGTAAGTTATCTTAAATATTTTCAAGAAGTTATTTAATTTTACAACATTGTGCATTTCTGTTTTGTCATAGAAAAATGGAAGAAAGAAAACAGCTTACAAATGAGGAACGCAAAATTGTTATACATATGCATAATGAAGGTAATTCGTACCGAAAAATAGCAAAATTTTTTGGAAAAAAAAAAAAAATAAAAAAAAAAGCACCAGCTGCTATTTTCAAAATAGTTGCTGCGTATAAGAAAGACGGATGAGTTTCTGTAGAGCAAAGATCTGGACGTTCGAAATGTACAATGTCGGCACCTAAGATCCGAGCCCAATTAATAGAAACAAATATAAATGTGCCGAGTACATAAACAATCAGAAGAGTATTGCATGCAGCAGAAAATTATGGGCGTGTTGCAAGAAAATTGCCCTATTTAAGCAAAGCAAACTTGAAGAAGCGTATGCAATTTTACGAATCTCATATGTTGCAAACCGACGATTTTTGGAAAAAGATATTATGGACGGACGAATCCATGATTCGCATGAAATACAGTCATGGTAGGATGTACGTGTGGAGAAAACGAAAGGAAGAATTTTCATACAATTGTATAAGACCTACACACAAAAGTATGAACGAGGGTATAATGGTTTGGGGGTGTTTTTCGGCTAGTGGCATTGGGAAAATTATACCACTAGCCGGAAAAGTGAATTCGAAAGTGTACCTAAAGCTGTTACAGGACGTCATTATATCCGAAGGACAGCGCTTGATAGGAAATGATTTCATTTTACAGCAAGATAATGCCCCCATACACAAAGCAAAAATTATCATGAATTATCTCAAAAGTAATGATATAAATTTATTGGATTGGCCGCCACAAAGTCCGGATCTGTCACCAATAGAAAATATATGGGCCATTCTCAAGTTAAAAATAGCTGAGAAAAAGCCAAAAAGTATTAAAGAGTTACAGAATATTATAATTGCAACTTGGCAGGAATTTACTACAGATGATTGTTTAAAATATGCTTTATCTGTACCAGGCGGAATTTGCAAAATGTCACAGAGACAAGGATATCATTGCGGGCATTAAGTACAATATTTAAATGTTTTAACTTTGTAATTTTGTGTAGCAATAAAAAGTTATATTTATAACTTGTGTTAAAATTATAATTATTTTGTTTTTTACATAATTCTTATTTATAATAATACAGTATTTGCGCAAATGTATAATTGTTACTATTATTATTTTATTGAATTATACTAGCACATTGTTTTATGTAGAATCTGTTATACGTTCGTTAAATTTAAGGTTAAATGAATGACTGATATCGTATTCTTCATTGCTTAACGCGAATATGCAGTTACAGCAGTGATACTCATCACTGACGGACATCTCAATGGAAGGAAGAAAACAGCTCACAAATGAGGAACGCAAAATTGTTATACATATGCATAATGAAGGCCATTCGTACCGAAAAATAGCAAAATTTTTTTAAAAAACCCCAGCTGCTATTTTCAAAATAATTGCTGCGTATAAGAAAGACGGACGAGTTTCTATAGGGCAAAGATCTGGACGGTCGAAATGTACAACTTTCTTGAGTATCTTCTTCAACTGTAATATTTACTGTTTCGTTTGATCTGATTAGAATTGTTCTGAAACTCTTCGTCGTTGAAATAAATTAAAAAACATCAGCAGACATCGGCGAGTCTTGGGTTTCTTCTTCACTTCCATTGGCATTTAAACGTAATTAAATAATTATAACATTATCACAATGCCTATCATTTTATTCAAGATAATTTGCAGAATAGTTTGGTATAAAAATAAAATGAATGGAAGCAACTATAAGACTGTGAAACATTTCCAAAGTTGAAAACTTACAATTTTCCTTTAAGTCAAATTTTCTCGAGAACGATAACCACTACAAAGGAACGGTTTGTGAATTCAGATTCAGCATGAAATAATCTATAAGAGTCATTTACAGATAAATAGCAAAATTGCAAGTATTAAAAAGTTATCGAGCAATGCCGGTCGTGTTTACTTACTTTTGGAACGTGTATTCGTTGCATACCGCGAATCTTTATTATTTTTCACGAGGAAATCCAGCACTAATGAACATTTTATCAGCATAATTATATAGATTATTTCATGTAGTTTCAGTAGATATATAATTTGTTTTTTGAAGTTACATATTTGCTTTGACATAAATGGTTTTTTGCTACAAGCTTAAAGTGTTTACTTACTTTTGTTACACACTGTATGTAATATATCTTCAAATAAATAACAAAATTTACTAACACGCGAAATTCCTGGTGTAATTTGTAATGAAAGTAATCTCTACTGAAATCCCTCTACTTAAATCTCTCGTGAACAATTTATCATAATTTAAAAAGCAATTTACAGAACTTTTAAATTTATAATGACATATAATTATTTATTATCAAATTTTTTTCAACGGAAACATGATTTATTAAAACCCACGTTAATTAATTAATATTCCTAAATATTTTTAGGTATACATCAATAAAATGAAATTTCAGATTAAGAAAATTTCAGAATCAGATTATATTTTTCTAACGTCGTTTATAACGACGTATTTATTAATTATTGTATATAATAATTGTATTCTTATACAATGATTTTGATGAAATTATATTTTAATTAAAAATAAATTCATACATATGTACAACAAAATAAACGCAAGGGTATTAATTAATTATTTGTAAATATACACAATAATTTATGTACCATATAATTGCAACGGCTCTAACTTTCCTCCCATCAAGCGAATTATTACTCTAGAGTCTTACTTTCTTTTAAAATATTTAGTAAATTCTTTCTTTCTTTTTGTCCCTCTTAAATTAAAGCCCGCGCACAACTAGTCATGAGATCAAAGGTGACAACACCGAGTGAACCTACTGTGCTTTCTTATACTGTGATCGATGCATGGGCAAAGTGAGAGGAATCTCCTTTTAGATGCCATCTCTATTGAGAAAATAAAATACATACATAATGAAAAAATTAAATAACTATTAGGTCGAGTCATAAGTAACTTCCGATGCAGCTAAATAGATTTTATTGTGTGTATGGTGAGATTATGAAGGTATAAGTCATCACGAGTTGTTGAAGTCAAATTTAACGATTACTGCGTGTTCCATGGAGCTATAAATATATCGTTTTAACATGAAATACAGTCCACTCATGTTTTTTATTTATTTAATCTCTGTAATTGTTGTCTTGTTCGTCGTATGTAGAAATTGATTCTCGCAATTCTGCTGACTTGCACCATCTCTGAATCTCTGTCCCGTGTCTTCACCAAACCTCCTGCGGTGCTTTCTGCGAAGTCAGAGATGAGACCTATCAAGAGGTCCTCTCATTAAGCATACTTCAAGGACGAGGGTTCCCAATGAATCGGGCTTGAACCATATACTAGTTACCACGTGCACCACAGCAGCAGGATTTATGGCGGGCATACAATGGAAGTGTCTACGGCTGTTCAAAACTAATGTCATATCTTTTCAAAGGTCAAACAACCACTTGATTGGTTACCTTTGATGACATTCATGCTAGACCAACTTCCGGAAGCTCAATCGCTAATCAGATTGGACAGGACAGAGAAATGAATCAGTTTACAAGAAACTAATAAGAAAACAAGTTCAGTTCAGACAATTGTGAATATTACTATTACAATCTATAGCGAACAGACACATTCAGAGTGAAAAGGTTTTCAAAGTGACGATCACTTGCATTTCATCTAGCGATCAGAGCAGTTTCATTTATCAATCGAGTTCCAGTTTTTCTTTTCAAGCATTATTTCATTTTTAAAAAAAAGGCATTTTCGACTTTTGAAACATCCTTACTTCCGTAAAAGGAGTAAGGAATGCGATTAGTGCAAAGATTAATCAGTAATAAACGAACAAAAAATCGCGTTATTGAACACTGCAGTAGCGATCAGAGCAGTTTCATTTATCAATCGAGTTCCAGTTTTTCTTTTCAAGCATTATTTCATTTTTAAAAAAAAGGCATTTTCGACTTTTGAAACATCCTTACTTCCGTAAAAGGAGTAAGGAATGCGATTAGTGCAAAGATTAATCAGTAATAAACGAACAAAAAATCGCGTTATTGAACACTGCAGATAAATACATTTAGCAATTGCAAAGAGTGCAAGAGAAACTCCTAGAAAAGCGCCCTGCACTCGTCAAACGCAGAAATGTCATTCTTTTACACGACAACGCGCGACCACATACAGCAAGGGTGACTCAAGAAAAAATTCTTGAGCTTGGATGGTTTGTTTTACCACATCCACCTTACTCCTCAGATCTTGCCCCGACAGACTACCACCTTTTCTGTTCCTTACAAAACTTTTTAAATGGAAAAACCTTCAATTCTGAAGAGCAAGTCAGGCAGGCTATTGAAAGCTTCTTCCAGTCCAAACCAACCACATTTTACAAGGAAGGAATTGATAAACTACCAGGAAAATGGAAGAAGGTTATAGAAAATAGTGGTGAATATATAATAAAATAATATAATTTTGTTGTTTAATGAGAACGAAATAAATGTCTGATAAAAAAACGGAAATTACTTATGACTCGACCTAATACATACATGTGGACTATTCATATTAGCGGTATTATCCATTACAGAATAAGAAACTATCAAACATTATGAGAAAAAGTATAACTTAAAAAATACAACTAGGAAAAGCACAAAATTATCACAACTAAAAGACAAAGCAAAGTTTTTGCAATCCTTATGCAACAAAAACACTAATCAACAAGTGTTTGATTTTTTCAATTTAAAAATTTAAAAAAATATTTATATTCGATACTAAAATAACAAAGATAAAAAAATCGATTTTATCTTTGCTGGGACAAAATTAAATCTCTCCTCAAGTACATAAATAGTGCATAATCATTACCAAACTATTCAACTAAATATTCAATATTTTTGGGGGAAAATTTTTTCAAATGGAAATACAAGTATTACAATAGTCTGTATACCTTTGCACAAAGGAATCACAGAAAATCATTTAGCAGATAGATTAGCTAAAGCAGAAATCAGTATGGATTCTAATCCAGACAAATCAATCCAATTTATAGACGTTTACCATCAATGTAGAAATCAAATGCAGTAGGATACAATCATGTGCTTAGAGAAGCAAATGCAAAAGGTATGAATTATTTTGATTTATATTATGATAATAATAGAAAACCATAGTTCCATAACATGTACTTACCAAGATATATTACATGATGAATAACTGGTCACAAAATCACAAGATATAGAACTGGTCACTAAAGTAAGCAACATCCGTAGCACGTGCGAATAATCAACAACAGCACTAGTCATTATGATGATCTCAACAGGATTTCAATCGCATACTAAGGAGTTGCCCTCTATAGAGAGTAGGGAAAATTAAAAGCTCTGCGAGAAATCGAACACACTTTGTCACAAGAAATTAGATCTGTCCTACAAAATTTAAATATAAAATGTATTAAAATAATGTTTGAATTCTTAAAAATCGGCATATAGTAAGGTTAATTAAGATATAAACTTACGAAGTAAAAAGATGCCGGCAAGGAACCTCACAAATTTCTAGAAGAGAAACGGAACGGAAGTACTATAGCGATACCTACATTCGTCCAACCGTCCCGCCGAAAAGCACATTTTCGCGCGTAAAATTATAACGTTTTTCTGGAGGATAATTTCCCTCCAGGATGCACGCCATTTTTCTGGAAAACGCGTTGCAAGGCAGACGTTTTAAAACAGAGCTAGCATTAGTTATTGTTCTATTGTTAGAACGTATAAATCCAATGTTTATTTAGAAAATCATAAATTAATGATAATTGTATAAATAAATAAATACGATTGTATTCCAAAAACCTCCATGCTTTCAATTGGTTGAAATTTTGGGAATGGGTTTCTTTTGAATAAAAATGATGATTCCGAGAAGGATTTTTGGCGACTCGAAAAAAATTTGGTATCATTTGAATGTCACTCCCTATTTTATTGACGTAATATTTGTATCTATTGTTATCTACGTTTTCTACAATGTCCTCCCCCCCCCAATAATTTGCATCATATCAAACGCGATTTTTTGTTAAAATAATATTGCAATATATTTACTATTTCTATGTATGCAACTGCATGAACAGAAAAGTTCTTTTACTTTTATATGTATACCATGTAGTACTTGTAATAAAAGAATATTTTATCACACCAATATTTACATACATTTACATACATGTATCCTCCTAAATATGTAAATAAATTCAGTAATAAGGGCAATAAATATTAGTGATTCAACTACGTTATTTTATTGGGGCAACAAATATCTTATTAAGAGAAGTTATATTTATGATATACGAAGTAAATGATATAAAGGAAAACCATAATAACCGCCATAGAGTAACGTCTTCAACATGGTGCGTGATCAACAGAATGAGCATGCTCCGAATTCCGAATGTTTTGTATTGACATTGTGTAGAACAGCTATATACGAGAAGACGTAACATCACGTAACGTCATATGACAACTAATAATTATGGTAATATCAGTAAAAAATCTGTTACAGTAATGTTTTTAGAATGAAATAAGAATCAAGTTAAATGTGGCAATAAATCTTATTCAACAGTCCGAAGAAATAACCGGTATGGAACCTAACACGGCAATACAGGATACACTTACAGAGATGCGAGTAAAATTTAAAGAGGTTCGTAAGTTATTGAATGATCATGAAAAATTTAGTACTGAAAGCGAACCATATAAAATAAAATATCAAGCAATTGAAGTTTTGAAAACGATGGAAACAGATCTTACTAACGTCTTATCAGACATGCCAGAAGAACAAAAAGGGGAAGAGGTAATAATGCTTGCAGTAGTACACTTAAATCTTGGTTTATTACATGCCGATACAGAGGAATTAAAGGCAGGTGAAGAGCAGTTTATGAAATGTATAAATTTATTGAAAAATAAAGAACTAGAACCAGAAGCAATTTTAACGGTACTAAGCGCCCTTAATCAATTGGGTATTATATGGTCCCAATGGAATCAACCAGTTAAGGCAAAGAACTTCTTAGATCAAGCAGAACAGATCTACAATGATTTCAAAAACACTAATCATGAATGTAGAAATCCTATTCACATGGCACAAAATTTTGGAATCGAAGAAGTCAAAGATGAACTGTCTCCTGAAGAAATACTTGAGAAAGTTCACACTTTAACATTATATTATTTAGCACAGATATATAGTTCTTTAAAAGACCATCGTAAGTCTGCAATATATTGTCATATGACTTTACGTAGACAGTTATGTAATATTGATATGGCAGACTTTGATTACATTCATTGGGCTTTAAATGCAGCAACATTATCGCAGTATTTTATGGAAAATGATGCTTTTTCTCAAGCAAGACACCATTTAGCAGCCGCATCTTATATACTCCAAAAATATGAAAATATACTGGAAAAGAAAACTGAAAACAATAAGGACAGTGAAGTAGTTGCAGCTGAATGGGAGGAATTTAAACATAGAGGTGCAGATGTTTCCAGGTGTTGGGCTAAATATGGAATCTTACTATTGAGCTTATCAAAACAAAGACTGTTAGAGAAAAGTGAAACAGAACAGAATAATACTCAGTCGGATAATAAGGATTCCTCAAAATTAAAAATGATTGAGGATTTAAAATTTGATGTTTTAGAAAAGGACATAGAACCAATTGTAAATCAAGTTACAGATGAATATTTATTAACTTTTGACGATGCAAGATTAGTATTTTTAAATGCTCAAAAATGGTTAGAACAAGCAAAAACATATTACACCTTGGAAAATCATGCCTCTGATCATGTATTAATTGTACAAGACATTTCTCAAGCATACAAATATCTGTCCTTTTTTGAAGAACAGGAGGATAGACAAGCAAAAATGCACAAAAGAAGAATAGATATTTTGGAAAATGTTATCAAGGAGTTAAATCCTCAATATTATAAAACTGCTTGCAGACAGATTTGGATTGAACTAGGAGAAACGTATTCTGAAATTCTGGATATAAAGCTTGATCGGTTACGTGCTTCTGACGAAAATCCAACACCCCAAGCTCTGACAAAAATTAATCATTTAGCAAAAAGTGCTATAAAAAATTTTCAAACTTTTCTTGATTCTTTAGAAATTCGTAATTCTAATTCTGGAACAGATCCGTTTCCTGATGATGTAATACAACCTGCATTGTTTTCTTACTTTCATCTTGGTAGATTATACAATAAGATAATAACGCCTGATAAAAAAATCCAGTTAGAAAATACTCAAAACAGTTTTAATGCATATAAATTTGTAGTTGATTATTGTGAGAAGTATCCTAAAGCAGCTGAAATCATGAAAGTTGAATTAAATCTTTGCAGGGAATTAGTAAATTTGTTACCAATGAAAATAAGTAGGTTACGAGAAACAGCGATGAATTAATAAAATCATTAATTTTAATCATTCTCTCTGCATTTTGATGCACGTGTATATTTAATGAAGCATATTTTTGAGAAAAGACTTAGTTAATTTTTGCAAATATATATTTCAATGTAATTTTATGCATTCTTCAATTATATCTTAATATTCTTTTCTCATAATTGTAACATAATTTTTTTGTAGCAATAACAAAATGAGCATATAAATACAGCAAATGCACTACATATTATAAAGATATAATATATGCAATTTGTATTTTATTTTCTTTAAAACTAAGATTTGTATTATATTTTTTAATAATACAGAAGTAATATTTGGCTTACTTCTTTCTTTCTTATTAAAAAAAAATGAAGATAATAGGTATATATTAAAAAATACTGTTATAAGATAATTTTTGTATTTATTTCATACAATAAAAAATCACTTTTTTTTACGTGGTTTTGTTTGCTGCTGCAACCTTTGTTTTCTTAACCTTCTTTTTTAATCTATAAAATGCGTCTGTCCTCAATTTATTCCGAATTTGTCTAGCTTTCCTTAACTTAAAGCGGTCAAAGTCACTGAGCTCCAGGCGCTAAAATTTAATAAAATGTGCATGTTAATTGTTACTTATTAAATAAAACGCTTATAATTAAGTATTACTGAAAATAAAGAAAATATATTGCATAGTAATTAATAGTTACCTTCTTCTTAGCTTCAACCTTTCTCGCCCACATAGTTTCTTTCCACAAGTCATTGATCTTTGCAGCTTCCCAAGCTTTACGTACAACACGAGTAGATCCAGTGTATGGGAAGGTTAATCGGAATTTAGTAAGATGCAACTGATTTAACCTCATCTCACAGCGTGGAACATTTGTAGAGGGACCATCGACCAAAACCTACAGATACCATATAACTTATTAAAATAAAAAAACCTATATTTTTGGCATAAAATAATTTAAAATTTTAATATCAGTTAACAGTATTGGCATCAGTTAAACATCAGCCGGCAATTCCTATCAAGATACTGGATCATCATGAATACATTATACATAACAAATAAAACGTAAGTATAATAAGTTGTTAATTACTTGATCATTTTATTGCATGGACAAAATTATCTTACCCTATTTTGATCAATGATGTCTACAATTGCAACCAATTTGCCCAAGTGTGGGCCATCGCTCACGTAGGCAATGCGGCCGGATTCCACGAATCTTTGGAACGGCTATTTAAAAAAGAAAACATCTTTATTTTACCTTAAATTTATAATTTTACTAATATAACTGTTAGGTTCATTATTATTTTAACACATATGTACAACTGTTTACAACAGTAAAAACTTTCCTACCATGTGGCTGAGCACGCAAGTAAGTACAAGGTTAGATTGAATAATAAATCCAATTTTTTAAACATTATGAACAAGTTTATAAATTAAATAACAGTACGTAATCAACAAAAATAAATTTTTTATCAAAATAACAATTCTTAACGAATGGTGCAAATTACACGTGTATAATAACGATAAGTTCAAAACCACACTTCACTTACCATGATTTACCGGAAGCAAAAGACATATACAATTTTCAACCGGATGAACTATTACCAGCACCAACTGTTAGTAAAATATGTTTCCATCTTGAACTTGTTTGAATCACATTTCTATACATATGTTTATATATATTTTTATATAAAATAAATGGCATAACAGTGTACTTAATTATTCTATTATAAAATTAAAGAGACATATAAATTAAAAGTTTTATCTAATTTTGAATATATGTTTCACAAGGCAATACAGGAACTAGAGGGCTAACATACCTTTTTTCTGTGCATACCTACTTTCGGTTCTACACATTCTATAATTTATGGCAATGCTCATGCGCTCTTACGATAATCAGGATGCTGAGCGTAGATACTCAGTGCACAGAAAGTTTCATGAATTTATAATTCGTACAAGTTGTAATATATTCTATTCAATAGACAAAGTATTTTTTGTTCCATATTTATATATTTCATGAATATACTAAAAAGATTAAGCATAATATTTTTATTTTATATATTTATTATATTATTATCTATTCGTTCATTTTCGATCACCATGTACATATCCATGAAAGCAGAAGCAACTTGTAGAGAGGTATCGCACTTTTTGATGAAGAATTTCGTGCAGATTTTGTAAGATAAAGCAAACATAGGAGTACTTCCTCTTTCGATGAGGTATATATTTTATTTTTTCGAACTTTATAGAATGAAAAATAAGCGGAATTACATGTTGTAGAAGTTAGTAAAATTTGTAAATTAATTCAACCACTGGCACGATTTATGTTTAGTATTTCATATACATTTTAATATATATTTTTATATACATTCAAATAAACATTTTGCATTATTATCTTTAAAATGATCTAAATTGTAAAAGAAGTCTGCTTTACTTGTAAACATTCGTTTAAGTATCAAACAATTATGGAATTAAAGATTAGTAAAATTTTTATAAGAACTGGGAATCAATCTAATGTTAGTATTATTCAGTTGTTAAACAAAAAATGTTCTACTCGATCATTATGCAATGTTACAAATATCCCAAAATCATATAAAAACAAGGTTAAACCTAACCTGTTTGGAAAAGAAAAGTTTAAAAATGTTAAAAACTTGGCGAGTAATATTAGTGTTTCTGGATATCTTTTATTGGCAAGTACTTACATTTATAAATATATATTATACTTATAAAAAGAAGCGATTAAATGATTGTAATATAACTTATTATATTACAAGAAATCAGAAAATAAATACCTTTTATTGAAAAGTGAAAATGTTTCATTTAAAACTATTAATTTAGAGTATACCAATTGCTACATTTATACTTGGTACATGGCAAGTCCAAAGACGTAAATGGAAATTAGATTTAATAGAAAAGTTAAATAATCGTATCTGTCAGAAGCCCATTGAATTACCAGAATCGTAAGATCAATAAAGTATTTTATGACGTAAACATTAATAACATAATGAACTAAAGTTTTATTTAGTTTAGGAGAGTTGGAATCAATGGAATATTATCCCATTAAAGTAAAAGGAACATTTCTATATGAAAAAGAATTTATTGTAGGATTTAGAAGTTTGTTAGTAGATGGGAAATCTTCAAATGATACTACATTCATGAAAAATGCAGGAAATCAAATAGGGTACCATATTATTACACCCTTTAAATTAGCTGATAGAGAGTAAGTAAATATATTAGCAAAACAAACATGTTTGAAATGTATTTAAAGATCTTTAATATTACATGCTTTCTTTCCAAATAAAATATAGTTTGACAATCTTGGTAAATCGTGGCTGGATTCCAAAGTCATATAAAAATATAGTGAGAAAGCAAAAAAGTGACGCAGATGATGAAATAGAAATTACAGGAATTTTAAGATTAAATGAAACAAGACCACAATTTGTTCCAAAAAATTCTCCACAAAGTGATGTGTGGCATTACAGGTACAAATATATAATTTAGCAAAAAATATTATAAAATACTTATTAGTGTCTGTATTAAAATTTTAATTTTATTAATTTCCTTATTAATATTACTTTTATGTATCATATTGTTTAAGAGATTTGAATGAAATGGCTAAAATAGCTGATGCAGATCCTGTATATATTGAAATGATATACAATATGAATGCACCAGAATATCCAGTAGGTGGTCAAACACAAGTACAATTAAGAAATGAACATACAAGTTATATTATTACATGGTATTCTCTTTCTATAATCACTGCTTATATGTGGTATAAGAAATTCATTAAAAATCGAATTGTACTTTAAAACAAAAAGAAGTTAGTACCATGCAAAAAATATAAAAAAGTATTGAAAAAGAAAATTTTTAAATAGAACTATATTCAAGTAGGATAACTATATAAGAACTATTTAAGTAACATTGATATGATTTGTATACTGTATACATGTATATAAAAATTATTTATTATTATCTATGTGATGTTCCTTTTACTATGAATCTTAATATATTATTTATCTTTATCATTAATTGTCAAAATTAATGAATACAATGAAAATAAGTGGGTATAATACTCATAAATTTTATTTCATAACATAACAAACTGAATGTTTTCTATTAATAAGAGCACATTAATTCTTCATTGAAAAATTGTTGCCTTTTATTATCAATAACAACAACAGTGATAACCACTACTAACAAAAATGTCAACAATGGTCATGGTAAATAGTTACATTGAAGAAGTCAGCATAGAAAATACAAATATGAAAATATACCATACAAATATGAAAATACACCATGTACATACTACATCGACTTTCCTTTCATTACGTATTTATTATTGTAATAGAATTGTGAAATTATACGACGATATGACGCTTTCACAGAATTGCAGTCATAACATTTTCGACTGCAAGGGGATGCTTATAATTAACTTTCTACATTATCGTGCTTTCATGGAATACCACGATTTACATTTGTTTATCATAAGAACGATATATAGATGGCATTCCCGGATTTTCAGGTATCAGGAGAGGTATTAAAATTGTCCAAAAGATATGTATTATATTTCAGTGCAACATCCTGTACGTTATACACATTTCATTTCATTCTATTCTAACGAGTACATGTCAATTTAGAAAAATAAATAGCATATAAATCAAGGTTACACCACCGTGACAAAAATTTAACGGATTTAACGAAAAAATTTAACCGAAATTTAATGGATTCTATGTTTTTCAATGTTTTAAAACAAACTGTGAAAGAAATTATGTATACAACTTATATCATTTTTAATTTATCAATATCAGTGTGTCTGTGAATTTCTGTTCTGATGAAACCAGCTGCAATATTCATAAAACGTCGGAACGTATCTTCGCAAGAACACAGTTAACTCCTGGAAAATCCTAAGGCAATATCGCCGTTAGCGCTGGGTAAACAGAGCATTTGTTCCTAGTCTTGTATTTCATAATGGTTTCTAAATATATTCGGTTTCGATCCTTTCAGTATATTGGTAAAAAAACGAGGGCCAAAGGGTCTGTATTAAAACCTTCAGGGGCCCAAACATTTAACAAGTTTTGATATATTCCCATGTATCCTCGTTGGGACCTTGAAATTTTTCAACTTAGTTTTTGGATCTTGGATCTCGGAATTTTAGAATTTTGAAACGTGATATTTTAGGGCTTTGGAATATATAATCATACTGTAAATATGACAGTAATTCCAAGAACGGAAAATTCTTATGGCACATTTTTTCATTAATATCCTAATATATATTTATATTATTTAACTTATACTGTTATGTAAAGTTATTCTAGCCTTATTAGCTGCGTGATGGCTAGATCAATGAGCTGTATTAGTTTAATTTCAGATTAGTGATGATTCACCACGTCTGGTGAATTAGTTTTGAATTAAATTTTGGTACGAGTTAGTCCAAGTATAGCGTTTAATTAACGTCGAAAATTTATTATAAAGGATCTAGATGCTCTTATGAAATATTAGATTTGATCTGGGTTACACAAACTCCAGCGGCGACGCTGCCCCAAGAAAGAGTAATTCCTAAGAGTAATATTTTTAAAGCTTTTAAAATAACAACTTATTTGTAATTACTCAATAATATTCTAAATACATAGATAATATCTTAAATTCGTAGAAGCGAAAACGATTGAACTATTTCAAATCGTTAAGCTGTTTTGTAAAATCTAATATGTCGCAAAAAATATATTTACCTTATTTGTACAGGATCAATATATATTTCTTTTTTTCTTTTAATAAACATCACAATTTTAATTAAAAGAAATAATAATGGATAATCTGTTTTATTTTTCGCCACGGTTACCATAATATCATCAAATGTACTAGATGAACATAATCATAACCGCTACATTTATAGTAAATATCTTAAAAAATAACCATTCCTATTGCACTGTTTTGAAATATGAAATATAAATTATAGATCATTCAATTCGCAACAATTTATTAAAAGATATGATTGTGACAAAAGCAAACAATTATTCCTATCAATCGTCTCGTCTGTACTTTGTGCTTTCTTTTATTCGCTTTTACACGAGACTCTTTAAATTTCTAGCTATTTATCCTATGCGATTTCAGATCGACACGGATCAACAATACGAAAGAAGTTTATTTATTTTCCCTTCCTCCTAACACGAACTCCCTTTAAAAGCAATTTTATTTATAACATGATCGATGGTCCTTGAACGATTCCGTCTCGCTTGAAATACGTATACATCATCTCTCGTTCAGATCTTGTATTCTCTCACTATGAATAATCAATTATACCGAACAGGCTTACAATCTGCACGGAACACGTTCAACGAAGGTTCAACCACTCTATTGCACTACCGATTTTTTGTCCAATTATTCCGTTCCACTAAGCATCATATTCAGAAATCCATTATTTCTTTACTCGTTAAGAACGCAAGTACGAACGAGAGCGTTACACACCGAGTACGGATCGCAATTACTACTAGGTCTTCTATCCTCAAGGTACCCTTTCTTGTCCTCGGCAACGCCTCGAGGTATACGAATACTGACATTACGATTGGCTACGCCGGCGCTAAAATCGTGTATGCTGCTGGTTTCGCATTTTCCAGTCAAACGACGTTCGTTATCTTTTCCTCCACGTGGGTCGTACGCTTGGATATGCCTGAGGTGTTGCTTGCTCAACTTGTCGATGGCTTTTTCGATTTCGGCGATGCCATTTTCGTTGCGCATTGCCTTCGTCGAGAAGTTCGTGTGTGCACCTGCGCCATTCCACATACCGTCCACGGGCTTGGGATCCAAGGTGACGATTACACCGTATTCCTCGGCCACTTGGTGCAGGATAAACCTGGCAACCCACAAATCGTCACCGGCTGATATACCAACGCAGGGGCCAACTTGGAACTCCCATTGAGACGGCATCACTTCAGCGTTCGTTCCGGCGATTTTCACTCCGGCATACAGACAAGCTCGGTAATGCGCTTCGACGATTTCACGACCAATCACTTTATTGGCACCAACGCCGCAGTAGTACGGTCCTTGGGGACCCGGGAAACCGTTCTTCGGCCAGCCAAGCGGCCTACCATCGAAATCTAGGAACGTGTATTCCTGCTCAATTCCGAACCACGGCTCGTGATCCTTCGCTGCTTCCATTGCCTCGTTCGCCTTGTAACGCTTGTTCGCTGTCGTCGGTGTCATGTCGCTGTAGTACGTGTCGCAGAGAACAAGTTTGTTGTTGCCACGACGAAATGGATCGTTGTATATCGCTATCGGACATAGATAAATTTCACTATTTGCTCCATCCGCTTGGTACGTCGAACTTCCATCGTACGTCCAGATTGGCAACTCTGAAAAAGAAAGATTATTATCGTTAGTATATATGTATATTGAAAAGTGGCTAAATAGAAAAACAATGTTGGCCGGAATTTCCTATTTTACCGGCACAACGTAAAATAACATTCGATATAATACCATTTCAGTATAAAGTCGTTGATTAACATATAAAGATTTTGCGCAAGATATTGATCTATTGTTGGTTTTTCTAAGTTTCTAAGCAAGTCAATTTCCAAATATAATATTAAGTAAATATCAAATAGTTATTATGAAAGTTACTTAAAAATTTGTTTCATTAAGATTTCATTGTTAATATTTAACATACTATCATGTAGACTTGTCCATTCCTTTTGTATGAAATTGATTATATTAGAAATACATATATATTTAATAACTTATCCTCTTCAAATCTATCATATTTATTAATGAATACCTTAATGTAATAATCATTGAAATAGTAAACAAAATTTTTTTACTTCCAATATTTAAAAATCTTTGCCAATAAGATCATTTTGTCATTTTCAATGAAATTAAATAAACAGTCGATCAGTAATGTAGAGCTCGCGAATGGGTGCATTTACCTTCCTGCACAATTTGGGCAGTATTATCGATTTTCATTATGTACATAGTGCGGATTGTACTCGTTTATGCTGTACTAGATACATATAGCTTAAAATAAAAATAGGCGGATTGTGCTCGGATATATTATATTATGGAACGTTCTTAAAAGTTGTGTCATTTTATCTAAGAATTCTCGCATAAGATCATAAGATTATATCTGATAAAAACTTGGCCTTCCACTACTTTAAACTTACGATTTATCTACATTGTGTTGGAAAATAAGACAATGACATCACGATGGTAAACAATTTTTTTAGTTATATACAAAATTTCTTTCTATATTGCTGCTATTGCCGATTGAATAAATTTTTTTTTAATGCATTCGAATACGTTTCTCCCACTATCATGGCAATATAACCATAAGTTTGTGATCTCATAAATTCTTGGAATTACTCTACAAGTAAGATTCCATGTAAATGACAAAATCAAATATTTCACTATTGTATCTCGTTAATATCGTTTGAAGTTAATGAACTAATACCAATTCTATGTAAGTTTTACCCTTAATAGTTGACATTTTAATTTGTCCCCGTAGATTCTACGCGTTGCAGATGTCAATAGTTCCGTAACGCGCCTAGAATTTCATGAATATAAATAAATGCTATTTCACTGTGGCGAATATTGTTGCATATGCGTTGGGTGTAGAAAATACAAGTATTTGCGTACTGAATGTTACATGCGATTAGCATTCATGAAAGATTATGATTTAATGATTAACTCGAGGTTCGCTTACAGGAAAAGAATAGAAGGCAAACAAAGATACGTAACGAACGATTATCATATCAAATACTTGCTAAATAATGAATCTACATGTACAGTCCTTTCACTCTTATCATGACATAATATTAAACACGATCAGATAACATTTTGGTTATCTTCCAAAACATATGTTCACGTACTTATCATGTTTTATATTTCAAAACAAGATCAAGGTTGTTTTGAAACTTGATCGATGATGATCAACAGATTGTCTAATTAACTTTATAATCATAAATGTACACGTATTGTATTTTTTTACTTATATTTTCGCAAATGAAGCCAGTTTTAAATACGTAGTTCGGAATCAGGCACTTTTCTCTTGAATAAGGAAAATTTGCAAATATTTCTAATATTAAGGTCATATTAGATAATATTTGTATATATAGTTGTATATATAAGGAAAAGTTGCTTAGAATAATGTTCCTGACGACATATTCCAAGAAACCGATTGCTATAGTAGATTGTATTGAGCAGATTTGATTAGATTTAAAATAAATTTTGTATAAGAACTTTTGTTTTGGGTTCCCTACATTTCTGCTACAACTCTGTCCTGCTATGTCGGTAAGTATGTATGTACATATGTACTGTACGATTACTGAAGAAAGTCACGTTATAAGAATATTTGTCTAAAGATTATATCTCTACTACATTACATATAATTTGGTATATGCAAACCCATAAATCACTGGACATTATATATATTTACTTACTCAGATATATACAAAACAGTTATTTTTATTTCGTGACTGTTTCTTAAGAAATAATACGTGCCGACAAACGATACAGTAGGGTTGTAAATTCTGTTACAGAATTTAATGTGCTCGATGCCCTAACCAAATCGCAACATAACTAATACAAAAGGAATGGGCATAGAAGGAAGAAAGCTTGAACTAATCTTGACCTATCTCTGACAATGAAATAAGTTTTTATAATTATAGTTGAATGATTTTTATAACTAAACATAACTAATGTGTTATAAAGTATAAAATTGAGAAATATATCGCACAGTACATAAGAGTATAAGATTTAGTTTGATATTTTTTAGTTCTCAAATTATTTACCAAAATTGTTTTAAATTGATGTATAACACTTAATGTGCTTCTGTTATTATATTTTAATCAGAACCGGTTCTGATACATTGTACATTAGATAGCTAAATCCTAGGGCAGGTAATAAAATTGAAATATAATTTAATATTATGGCATATATTATATTTTTTAAAATTTTTACACATTCGAAAAGAGAAAAACTAATCATAGTTCATAGTACTTTTAATTTGGTTTATTTTATTTAAATAGTTCTTTACTATTTATAATATAATGTATTATTTGCAAATTTCCAAATAACTGAATTCCTAAGATTTACAAATTTAAAATAGCCAAACTTCCAAGTTGTGAAGCTTCCAAATTTTAAAATTATTAAATTTCCAGGTCTTCAAATTTTAAAATTCACTATCTATTAAATTGTAAAATTTCGAAATTTTTCAAATTCCAATATGTTCAAATTTTTAAATTTCCAAATTTTTAAATTAGCAAATATATTTCAAAATTCCAAGCTCATTGTTAGAAACAACCAATGTCTCTTACACACAGGCATTTAACACCACCTATTCAGATTTTGATATACGATGAAGTTATCTAAAATACTAAAGAAGTTCAACAAATGCCAAATGATAAGTGATTTATAGAATGAAAGAAGATAATATTTGCTTGATAATACGCGAAAAAATAACGACTGTTTACTGACCTGATGGGTGTTTCGGCACAAAATCGACTGTCCTAGTCTTGCATCTTAAGTTTTCACCGGTACCATCAATCCAGATGTATTTTGCTAAAACTGTATTTTCTGGTTGGGGTAGGTCGAGGTACTTGCTCAGCAAGGTCTTATCTAGGGCCGCGTTCGGCGACTCCTTCAACATAAGGCGCGACATTGTAATGCTGCAACATAATATAAAAGTCCATGAAAATATTGTACAATGTAATGAGACATGCATTTATTATACAAATTTTAGAACTGTATTTATTTTTGAACATTTTTATAAAAATATCAAGTTTCCATTTATCAAATGCATTTATGCTGATTTATGATTTTAAACTAAAATTTTTAGATACTAAAGCTATCGCGATCGCCATAAAAATAAAATTTATGTCCCCTACTCCTAGCTTAAAAAACATAATTTTAATAGTAAAGATAATGATGGACGTATTTTAATTAGCCATCTACGCATTTGACTTAAATTTCTTAAATTTTGTTTTTGAGAAACAGACTTTCCTTTTTTCTCTTTTGTTACAAGAAAAATTTAAGGAATGTTCTAATTGTTTAAGTTTTAAATACACATTGCTAAAATTAGTATTTATCGAAAAGAAACTAAAAAAAGGTTTTGCCGAGTAAACTACAGTATATACGTTTATAATACGCATGCGCATTATGTATCCTCATTCAAGAACAGTTTTTATTTTCTTTCCATAAATATTTTAATTATAGTTTGGAACTCAAGTAATTATAGGCCTTTTAATATTTTGAGCAATTTAAAATAATCGTTAGTTTAAGAAATATGGTAATTTCAATATATGAAGGAAATGCTTTTATTCTATCGTCTTATCTCAGAAACGAAATTTAAGCAATTGAAATCAGTACGTAATCAAAATTCGTATTAGTATTCTTTTTTTCCAAGAAAATTATCAACATTCAGTGCTACCGTCAGAAATGAATTCACGATGGAAATACACCTTGTTTTCCTTACATTATGATTTGAATCATGCTTTGATTTTAAAAGATGCATTGAAGTAAGTAGATTCATTGGATTAAAATGGACTGTGGCGCCGTCTAGTGATGAGATCGCGTATTTGTAACGCACATTACGCAGATTCATTCACACATATCAGATGCATCGAGGGACGAGCATGTAAAAGATTCCTCTGGTTTATTCTTGGTGAAACAGAAAGAGAGGTGCGCCCACGTATCACGCAGTACGCATCAAGCATCACGCAGCACTCACGCAGGAACCACGTGTATTCCAGGAGTATGCATGTTGCCAGTCGCCCACTGGCAACGCGTTTGAACAACGTGTTTAAGGTCTTTAACCGATATCATAACCCTGCACGCACGTGCAAACATTTCGGGCGTTTTGAAGGCCATCTCAAATTATTTTTAACTCTTTCTTTTTCTTTTCCTTGGATAATGCACGTGACTCACGACATCAATAACATAGAACAAAACGTGCGTTAGGTGGTGTTCACAATTATGAAGATTAGCACAATTTTGAACAAATGACAATAGTCTTGATCATGATTATAATAGTCTTCATTGTCTAGAATGCTTTGAAGCTTTGTATTAAATAGCGATACTGATTTTTAAATTTGTACCTGTAACTTTATGCAAGAAGTGCTGCTGTTATATTTTTGAAAAAATTAGTTAAGTCTAATATGGAGTTTGCAAATAAAGAACGACGATTGTATCTGAAAGAACCACATAAGAGTTGCCAGATATTATTTAGTTACTTCTTAACATATTAAGTGCTTTTCATATTTATAAATGTTGATATTCTTGCACCAAGCCACAGTTATCACTGTTATTTTTCAACCTCATTTCTTTAATTACATCGATTCTGAGAATATTTTTCAACCTACATATGAAATATTGATATATTGACATTGCAATATGTATGTTTTATTACAAACTAATTTCTGTCGATATATTGGAGGTTTTTTCCTAATATTATACAATATGATTATGAATTTTCCAGTGAAATTTATACATTTTATAAATTTTAACCGCGTAAACAATTTTTTTTTTAATTTACTCATTAAGAATTTAAAAATGCAGTGATTTGTATTTTATGTATATATCTTTTTTATAAATGAAACAATTATGTTCCAAACAAATTACCATCTAGGTTACATGTATCTACATGTACATCTAGGTTAGTTAACAACAACTTGAAACACTGAAATATTAACAACTTTGAACGAAGAAAAATTGAAAAAATACAAAAAAATAACATCAATTTTACAGTAAGTATAAATGTTTATATTAAATTTATGTGTATGAATACCTAGAAATTCGTTTTTCTATAGTAATAAAGAACCGTGGAAAATTTCCTGTACCAGTCGCGTTCTTAAATCGAAAAATTGCGCATTATCAAGCAGTTATCAAGTTGTTTTTCCCCTACAATTATACAATCGTCCTTAATCCGTAGTAAGTGTACGTGGGCTGCTTACTGTGAATTAATGGTTCACTAAACAATCGTTAGAGTTCATTTCTGTTTAACTACGAGTGCTGATAAATATTCTCGTTTGTTTATTATAGTTATTTATAAAAAATAAAAATTGGTTGTTTTATTTATTATTTATGCTTATTTTTCTTTGATTTCAATGCATTGAAATTATCGACAAGTTCGTACGTTTATGAAACTGTATACAAATAATGAATTGCGCAAGTGATATATTGTAAATGTTGTAAACAATATTTATATGCCATCTTTTTTTAAGATACCAGTAAAATTAAATAAATGTATACATGTAACTATGTGTATTTTTTAAGTTTTCATTAGAATAAAGGGTTGCATTTTTGGCACTAATTAAGAAATATTTTTGATACTGAAGTGAATGCTGTAAAAATTTGTTTCAAAACGATTAGTAGCGATCATTTTATATGAATTTTGTTGTTTTCTTTCTGTTTTGTTATAGCAATAGACAAGAAAACGTTCATACATAATAATAACAATATACATGACAATTATTTTCTTAATTGTATATGAATACCAATTTCGTTTGAGTGAAAATAATAATTTTGCTTTAAAAGAAACATAAAAATTTCTTATTCTTAGCAGATTTATAATACTATTTTAGTACGTTTATTTTTAAAAACAACTTAAAAAATGCGAACTAATAAATTACTTGCAGAAATGAAGCTTTTAACTTTGGAAAAACAAACGTACATTATTTTATATATTTTATAAGATATTACTTAATGAATATTATTGCATAAAAGAATTAGATTTTTAAAATCATTATACTATATAAATAACGTAATTGGTATTGTAATTTTATTTAAAAAAAATAAAAAGTTTTGAATTAGTGTAATATTGAAAGTGATTATAAAATAAAATTTTAAGTAAAATAGCTCAAATTAGATTTAGAAAATTAAACCAAAATAAAATAAAGAGTCTAAACAAAGAGTTGTGATTGACAAAATAGACGAAATTAGGCACAGAAATCTAAAATAATGGAAAGCTTTAAATAAAATCTTACAGTTTTTAACTGACAAGAAAATAGTCCAAACTTTGAATAGTTAGAAATTAAATCGATTAAAAAGCAGAAGAAAAATGTCCAGATAATTGATTATTCAAATTAAGCAAATTTCAAAAATACATACTTCATGAGTTTAAATTACACAGAGCTAAATTCTTGCTTAGTAGGTAGCGATTATAAATCTAGGTAAATTTCACGTCTCGGATACTGTTGAATTTTTCCGATTGAATGAAGAAAACCGTGATAACACTAAACTGGTTATTATTCAGCACGTGACGAATCTGAGAGTCATGTGCTGATATACGCGCACAGTTAAAAACACTATTTCTCTCAAGATATTGTTGGACTTCCGTGTGAGTCACGAGCTCTCTTTTGTTTGATTACTAGATCATTATACTCGTTAATTCTTTGTTTTTTCCTTTAATCTGGAACAAATATACCCCTCACACAGCTGATATACAGTACTATTCAAAAGTTTCGAAGCATTTAGATCTTTCTACTAAATCCATTGTCATCACATTAAAAATAACTTTTTATGAAGAAAGTTTAATGTAAATTTTATGTAGTTTGAAAAACAGTGGAATGGTGAAATAATATAATGGTAAAATATAAAATAATCGAATAAATCAGTAAAATGATAGAATGGTAGAATTGTAAAATAGTATAGTAAGTAAAACATGAAATATAATAACATAATAACATTTGTATTTTAAAATTATTGGAATAATATCCAACATGGTTTGTAAAAAATATAGTATAGTTAAATAAAAAATTGAATGTGAAATAACTTATGATGCACAGCATTTGTTATTACAAAACGTGTTAATGTTTCTTATTTTCCCTATATTTTAATTTGATTAACAAAAACGATTTGTTTCGTTATTAAGAAACTTGTTATTAAACAAAAAATCGCTATCTTTTAGTGACGAGTATATTCAACATAAACATCGGGAGGGTTAATAACTTTCTGAGAACAATGAACAGTGTTTCTCAAACATATTAAGTATCAGGTTTCTTTCATTAAACATAATTCTTATTACTACATTAATAAGCGCACTTATTCTTCTTAATTTATTAATGCAGTGATTTTTAGAGGATTTTAATATCTCACGATATGTTAATCGTTGTAAATAAACTTGAGTAGTTGTTTATATGGATTACGTATATTTATTTAACTTCACTAATCGATCGGACGAGAACCAATGCTTTCCGCTAATTGTAATCAAATTAACTCGTCCCGCTATTTCTGATATATTCTTAGTATTCTGTGTCATTCTGATAAACAAATGACATTATTCAAAAGTAAGAGCGATCACTATAATGCCATCCTTGTGTACGTTAGTGTTATCTGATTAATTTTTAAAACCGAAGAAGCTGCAATCATAAAAATTCATTTATTCAACTCAACAAAACTGATAAAATTTTATTTTAATTTTTTGAGTGACATTGACATATACGTTAACACTTTTGAAAACTCAACCATAAATATGTACATTTTTGCACGAAATTTGTTAATATTATCAATTTGTTTTTTATTGTTTTTACTTATTTAATAATTGTGCGCGTAAAATGCAATCCTATAAAGAATTATGCCATTCTTTGCAACTTGAAAAAACCTTTGAAGAGATTAATTGCAGAGATAATATGTTATATTATACTTGTCAATTTCTCATATTAAAAATTTGAAAATTTGAAATTCCTGTACTCTTATATTTTAAAATCTCTAAACAATTTTTGAATTTTTAAACCTTAAAATTTAACAATTTTCAAATGTCCAAATTTGAAAAACAAAAAGTTTGTAACTTTTTAAGGTTTAAAATTATCTAATTTCTAAATTTCTTAATTAAAAATCCGGAAATTTGCAATGTTTTTAAACGTCTAATTTTTTAAATTTTCAACTTCTGCACTTATAATTTCCCGGATTTCCAAATTTCTAAAGTTTCAATTTTACAGGTTTGTAAATTTTCTAATTGGCATTTTCAAATCACAAAATTTTTAAATTTGATAGTTTGACATTCTTGCGTTTCTAAATTGTTAATTACTAAATTTCAAATTCTCTAACTTTCATATTTAAGATTACAATTTTCCAAACACACAAATTTTCATTTATACTGATTTAAAAATTTTTTAATTGTAAAATTTCCATGCGATATTTCTTACTTTCAAAATTTGTAAATAATTTAATTCTCAAATTTAAAAATTGTTAAGTTTCAACATTTTTTTTATAAGAATTTCAATTTTCAGTACCAGTATTCAACTGCGTAATACGCGTAAACGATCTCATGCTCATTAATAATAGTGTTTGATCGAATAAGTCACATTAGTATGCTGCATGCGATGAAATATAAATCTATATCAAACACTTCATTCACTGTTTTCAAATAAGCATGTACTGAATGTGCACGTATACCAAAACAGCATTCTAATGCATTAATCATTTCAAAAATATGTACTTATGTTACAATAGCTGAGATTTTTTGTACATTTTAGAGTTATTAATTCTGTTTTATAATATAGTGCCTGTAGTGCCATTACACAAGAATATTTTGATTATATTTTGACCATTTTTGTATGTAAAATACAAAATAGTTACTGATATAGATATGGATACTGGTTCACGCATGCGTACAAAGTCTTGTCTGGCATTGCCGCCATATTGGTTTTTTTGGATTCAGTAGCGAAATGCTCATCGGAAACTGGAGTGTTCAAATCTGTATATGACCGTGTTCCAGGAGCAGTTCAATGTCAAGAATAGAAATGTACGTATTTACTCCATATGGTTCTAGAGCGTTCTTGTATCGACAAAAAGAAAAATACAGTTTTAAAATATTATCAAACGAATGATTAGCCAAGATTACGAAAAGCTAATTATTTCAATAGCTTTGATTGTGCAGAGCTATGAGATATCGACGTTGGGAAAAAACATTCCATTAAACGAACTGCGAGGCCATTGTTTTTCATTGGAGGATTCGAAAATGATTCCCTTTATTGACAGCTTATGAATGCACCGGCACAGAACACACCGCGAACAGACTTCATTTTAAATGGCGGCTGACGCCAAACCGGTAAATTGCCCAGCTTGTTTCACAATGCATCGTGCATTCCAAAGGCGAAAGAGATGCTTTGAAAAACAGTGTCCTTAATGTTTTCATAATTGCTGACCGAGAAACAAGCGCAGGGCCGGCAGAGCAAATCTTCGTGTAGGGAATTTTGGAATTTGAAAATATAGGTATTTGGAACTTGAGAATTTGGGAATTGAAAGTATAGTTTTTGGAAACTTGCGTACTTAGAAATTTTGTAATAAGGAAGTATTTAGAGATTTAGAAATTTTTATATTTTCATATTTGTGAGGTTGAATATTTAAAAATTTGGACTTTTGCAAAGTTATAAATTGGGAATTTGGAGATTTGCAAATTTGGAAATTTTGGAATTATGAAATTTTAGAATATTTTAATTGTGGAATTTAAAAATTTGGAAATATTGGAATTTAAAAACTTATGAATTCAGAGTGTTGCACATTTTGATATTGTTGAATATGAATATTTGAAAATTTGGAAATTTTGGATTTCGGACATTTGAAAATTTGATAATTTAAGGATTTCAAAATTTTAGGATTTGGGAACAAAAAATTTGGTGACTTGATCATTTGAAAATTAAAAAATTTAGTTATAAAAATTAAAAATTTGAAGATTTGATCATTTGGAAATTTTAGGATCTGAGAATTTAAAAATTTAAATGTATGTTCATAGTAAGGTTTCCAGATACTGAAGAAAATCGATTTAAACGGGACACCCTGTGTGCATAACAACCTAGATTTAAATGCCGCTTGGGAATTGACCGTGGATATAATTCATTATGACTGCAAATTACACATTACAATTTTCAGAAGTTGCAATGAAATTAATTTTCAGTATACTGGGTGACTCTCATAACATAACGACTTCAAATATATGAACTGTTGACTTTAGAAAAACATTTTTCAAACATAAGTTCAAAAATATGATTTCTAAAACTACTGTAATCAATTTACTATAATCGTTTTGTTTCTACTTTGTTTTTTTTTTTATCAAGGGACGAAGGTGACCTTCAACGACCCTTTACTTTTTTAATATTAAACCGACCAAAACGGTCAAAATGATCACTTAAGAAGTTTCTTACTTTAAGTTACAAATAGTAGTACTTTTATACAAGTAGTACTTTCATTTTTTACAAATTTTACATAATATTTTCACGATATATTATTATATTTATTTTTGATAGTTTCAAAAAATTAATGTGAGTATTTTCAAATAGATAAATGAACAAATTTCTAATAATATAGATACTAGATCTGTATAAAGATTTATGTGTCACCCATATACAATGGGTGACATGACAGTCAAAATATTAAGGTGGTTCTCTTGAAATCTGTATTGCTTTTATGAAGATAAAGAGTTCATGTGTATATTAATTTATACTCTATCACTTGTTTATTTGTTTTCCAATTCATTTTTAATTTCAAAGTGTGCGTTGTATGCCGGTATATGATTGACATATTCTCCTTTCACCTGGTGTTGCCTTTACTTCTTCCAATGGAAGATTACACTTCAACTAGACTATAGCTCAGTCATTCCTGTAGAAGGTTCAAGGCGAGTTTAAATGATGACTAGTAACGAGCATATGGTAATCTTTTTGGAAATGTCAGAGAATCTTTACGAAGGTTAACAAATTTCCATTTTCCTGAATATGTATTTATTAATATTTCTTAACTATTAATATTTTTAATAATCTCGATTGATCTTCTTTAATTTTATTAAATAGTCGAAAATATCTTTCTTTTATAAGGTTGAACGATTAGAGGTTCATTACTTTTATAGTATTGTATTAAATAAAAGAAATTAGTCGAAAATAATTGGTTCTCAGCTGACCATAATAATAGTAATTTGTACATTACTGAACAAAATATACCTAGAAAATATTTGATATCATACTTAAAGTTTCGATTTAATCTTTTTAAAGTTTTGGAAGATTATTGATAAATGCTGTAGAATTAAAGAAATTATAAGATTTAGAAAATGAAGATTATTATTGATAATGAAATAATTTGTATAAATATGCATTATAGTATTATAATATGTATTATATTGTAATATACGCGAGAAAGTACATTCCGAAATATTACAAACAATTTTATTAATTTTTTATATTACAATAAATATTTTTTAGCATAATCAATATATGATAAATATTCCTAGGTAAGAATCTAGTAATTGAGTACATATAACATTAAATATTGCATAGAACTGTTTAGACATATTAGATTGAACATGATACGAGTTAATCAAGTGAGACATTTCTAGAATAGATCATTTCTTTATTAATTTCTTCATTTTTATTTGTTTGTCTGATATTAGCGGAATCAAATGAACACATTATTAATGGATTATTTAACATAATTATTTTACTAACCTAAGACATCTGGTGACGGTGATCCATTTCGGTTTTTGACCGACAACGACATTTTGCAGGATTCTGGTCCCGCATAACTTCATTAAAATATTCGAACTCATTTTAAATAATATATTGATCAACCGTTTGATGTTCTGTTTGTCAACTTTTTTTCGCAAGAAACGATTTGCGATTAACTTATTCGCACGGAAGACTTTTCAAACAAATAATACAATAAATTTGCAATGAAAAGATGTGAATATTAGAAAATAATTATTTCCTACAGTTTCACTTAAAAGTAACGTATTATGCTTGAAAACGGTATAAAAATGTCGAATAAAATGGGACAGGAATCACCAAGAAGGATCAACGTACTATTCACCGGTTTACTAACACAAACTGTTGCTGGCATCATTTATGTAGCTATCCCTTCCATCGAATTCTGACAGAAATACCGGTTCCATCGTAATTTCGAACGAATTTTAAATTAGTGATTCTCCGGCAACCTACTCCTTTCTTCTCAACTCTCATCTTTTATTTTTTTCATTTATTTGTAGCCCTGCAATATATTTTATCGGATTATATAGTTTTAAATAAACTTCTCTTCCTTATAAATAATATTTAATTTATACTCAATAAAAATTTCGATCGAAAATATAGAAATCAGAGTCGTTTATAACATCTAAGTAACACACTACATCACTATTAAAAAAACGACTTAATATTTTTAATTTTTAGAGACTAGGAATGTAATCTTCATATTAAAAAATACTAATACACGTATTTTTATTAGCTATATTCACCTATGCATTTTATTTAGATCGCTTAAATTTCGCTTGAAAAAAAGAATAAAATAAAGTGAACAATTTTTTTGAAATCAACATATTTCTTAAAATAACGATTATTTTAAATTGCTCAAAGTTCCCCAAAATTCTTATAAGTCCAGTTTTGATTATTTAAATTTGAAATAATGCTAAAGTTGAAGTATTTATCGAGAAAAAGTAAATAAAAAATGTTTCTTGAATATAAGTAAATATTCTCACTGCGCATGAGCTGTACGTACCATACGCATGCGCATTACGTATCTTTGTTAAAGAAATCATTTTGTTCTTATTTTTGGATAAATACTGCAGTTTAGCAATATTGGAAACGAATGCAATTAGAACAGTATTTATAACAATTTGTTGATACTCAGAACAATTTATATAATTTTATTTACTGTTTCGGTTAATTAAACGATAAAGGTGCATAGTAGTATGAATATAATTAAAATCTTGAATTTATTACAATGCTCGTCACGCGAATGAAAGTATCACAAGATAACCTTCGCCAGTCTGCACTATGTAGAAACAAATTACATAAGTTGAAATTTAGTCAATATTTAAGGATTTAGCTCACGATATAATAACATTTAGATGCATATTTCGATTGTGTATCCAAGGAAATATTTTTATCAGTGGAATTTTATCAACCGAAACAGTTAATCACATGTGCATACAACTGATTTGTCTGTAATTTTTAATTTTCATCAGTGATAAAATATCTCCTGTACCAATAATAGTAAACCTTGTTCCACTAATTATAAAAGCAACGCAAGTGTTAAGTTGCTGCAAATTTATAATATTTCGAATGAATATTTATTTCTGATTAAGTATATTAATTATGATCGGTTAATTTCGCAGTGCTTGAATATACACAATTGAATTTATTTCTCACATTGTTATTATTTACCAATCTATGTGTTGATTATTATAATGCCATCGTGTGGTTTCAGTATCACGTGTGTAAATATTCCAACATACATTCGCGTGAATACGAACGTAGCAAGGAAATGTACGAATATACAGGGTGTCCACGTTCAACTCAGCATTTTTGTTTGACATTCCGTTTTTCGAACATAAAAACCTATCTTTGAATACGTATACTATTACTTACGCTTTAATAAATACTTATAACAGTTACAGTAAAGTTTACAATAAATTTTCCTATAATCGAATTTTCCAATTACTTGAAATGAAACGAGCTATTTAATCTTTATTGTATAAAATATCTTTATAATACTGAATTTACAAAAATTCAAATGTTAATATTCCTTAAACATTCACGAAATTTAGTAATTCGGACGAAATGTCTTTCCTTGAAATTAAGACTTGTCATTTATTTTCAATATACTTATTGCAGTTTAAGCTTTCAAACTTATTTTATGAAAGTAATAAAATAATTTTAAGAAAAAAAATACGCCGACTTCGAAATGCACTAAAAAGTATAAAATAATTTCTATTTCCTAATGAAGTAATTTCTATTTCATTCAATCATACAATTACGTAACAGATATGAATGAAACCTATTTACTCGTCAGGTAGTATATTAAATACATTTCAACCTAAGTCGGCGTATTTTTTTTCTTAAAATTATTTTATTTCATTTCAGATAATTACATAGATTTATTATAAACTTGGTGGTTATATTATTATAACAATTTTATTCTGCACATAATCTTGCGAAGATTTTTGTTTATACTCTAGTTAGATTATATACAGATAGCTCAATGCAAAACTTGCACAAATTTATTAATTTATAGTTAAAAAAGGTTTCTGTGAGCTTAAAACTTATGTAACAAAACTTTTTCATGTGCAGCTTCATTTTCAAGAAATTTGAGAATTTGATAATTCTGTAATTTAAAAATTTGTAAATGTGCAAATTTGAATGTTGGGAGATTTTATTATTTCACAACACGGAAACTTGGAAACTAGCAAATTTGAGAATTTTATAAACGAAAAATCTGAAAGTTTGAGAGTTTTCAAATATTTGGAAATTTAGTGTGGAAACATGAACTTTGAAATTCAAAGTCTGGAAAATTGGAGATGTGTATTTATGTAACTATTAAAAATTTTTAACTTGCAAACTTAAGAATTTAGAAATTTAGGAATTTGATAATTCGATAATTTTTAAATTTCGAATTTTGGGAATTTAATAATCTAAAAACTAGAAAATTTAGAAGTTAGGATAACTAAAAATTTCTGATTAAGAAATCTATATCTGGAAATTTGAAAATTTAAGAAAATTCTGTCTGTTAAAAGAAGCAATTTTTAAATTGTCATTATACAAATTTCATATAAATAGTTTTCTTTGTATTTTCAATAGCTACGAAAGAACAAAATTGTTACATTTTAATATAGATTTTATGTACAATTTTTTACTAAAAAAATACCGTCGACTTAAAAACTACTTGTAGCATGTATGGATAGAATCAATGGACGAACGAAGAAAGATATTTTGCTCTGTGAACCGTTGAGAGATCGAATTCGCGTCTCCTTGCATGCGACACGTGAGGTTATGAATTATTAGTTTGTCAGATATGCTAAATTGTTCCACTAACCTATTTTTCTTGACAGATGTAGTTCTTACGTCTGTGACTTATCTTTTTCCAACTATATCTAATTCGTAAATACGGTTTAATTTTGTACAAACTAATTGTAACCATAGTGATTAACACGAAATTGATAACTAGTGAACTTTTGCTCACTCTACTAACAAAATTGCTGTGCTCTGAAATCTAATCACACAAGGTTTATTTCTTTTATCAATTAATTATTAAATAGCTCTATATTTTGTAAAATATTATTGACATAACAAATTCGTGCTTATAAATATTTACAATTTGCAAAGTAATATTGCAATTTCAAAAACGTGATATTTCTATATTTGTAAATTTCAAATGGTTCAAATCTCTAAAATTTGAAATTTTTCAGTTTCTGAATTCGAAAATTTGACTTTCGGATATAATAGTTTTATATTTTCAATTTTTTAAATTTCTGAATTACTAGTTCTAAACATTTAATTTTTAATTTTCTAAATTTCTAAAATTATAAATGTAAAAATTTTTTAAATTCTAAATGAACAAATATCTAAATTACCAAATTTCTACGTATACTTACAAATTTAGAAATTCGATAATTTGAAAATTTGAAGTTTTGAAACTATTCTTAACTTCACAAGCTTCCAAATTTGTAATTTTAGGGTATCATAAATTTAACAGTTTAAAATTTCTAAGTTTCTAAATATCACAAATTCCTAAATTTTGAAGTTCCTATTTGAACATTTTTTAATTTCTTATTTTTAACTTTTGAATTTACAATTTTACAAATTTTAAAGTTTTCAAATTTCTAAATTTCTAAAATTTCTAAATTTCTAAAATTTCTAAATTTCTAAAATTTCTAAAATTTCTAAAATTTTTAAAATATCTACTTTTTTAAATCTTCAAATTTAAAAGCTGAAAATTCAGAAATTTTAGTTGTTTGATCGAGACATGTTCCATCCATGAAGTACAAAATCGATAAAAAAGAAATAAAAAATAAGGAACATAATTTTTTTCGTGAAAGCTCTTGAGGAAAGCTTTTCGGTGAAAACTGGGTTTAAAGAGTCGTGTGTTATATGTGCCCTTGACTATTTTTCGCTTAATGGATTCTCTATGGTAATTACATGTAAAATAGGGTGCACTTCACCGATTTCAATGATATTGACATACGTTATAACGGTCAATGTCCCGAGCAATTTCATTGATACATTAAAACAGTTCCACTTTTGTATAAAAGCGTTGGGAATTTTTGTTTGTAATTTTGTTTTGTATTAAAATTTGACATTAATAGTCGAATAATTATATTGTTTAATATGATGATTGAAATAATTGCAATGTCTAATATAAATTATAGTATTCTCTTATAAACTGTATGCATTGAGTGTCTATGATGAGTTGTTTAGAAGGAAATAATTTTATCTTCTTTTATTTATGCATGTTTTAGAACTATTTTGGATTTTTCACGAATTAAATTTTTTAACATTTTATATATAATACTTTTTTACATAGAATGTTCCGAAGACTCGGTTTGAGTAAAAAACTGGGGGACATTTTTTGAAAAATAATACAGAAATAAAACATGTGTATCGGTTATCGTATTGTTAGTAACATATATAACAAAATTCTTTTCTCCTTCAAAATCAAAATCATTACACTCTATTTTGTGGCAATCCTATGTAATATTGGATACCAATAATATAAAAAAAACAATGATTTAAGAAAAGAATCTATAGATCTGAAATAAAAGTTTTGTTTACATTAAACTCTGTTTTAATATAATTAATAAAATTAATTCAGCATTCATTCATGCTACATTTCTTCTGAAAAAGAGCCACATCTTTACCAATTGAGAAGATGCAATATATATCTGTAGAGTTCGCTGTGTATTAAAAGTTGTGTAACGGTGACAAATTCATAGCACATTACGCTATGCCAGAATTCTGTTGTGTATTTCATTATAACGATGTCATTTACAGTTGTCTTTCGATCATTTAACCTTGACTCTAAAATTTTCATTCGCAGAATAACGCGC